ACTGTGTATTAAAAAGTGTCCATAAAAACCTTTAAATAAGGGTGGCGCCACTATAGTTACGGGGTAAATTTTAAAGAACGCACCGAAAAATACTAGTGGGATAGACGACTTTTTCCTGATTATAGTTACTAAATAAAATTATTTTAGATTTTAGAGCCACTGATCGCATAGCAGCACACTTAAACCGGCGACAACTGCTAAGTTCATTTCATCCCAGTAGCTACTCCAGCGCTGTTGTGGAGAGTTTTTGAGCTGTTATTTACTACTGTTACGAGCTTGATGTTCGTGACAATAAAAATTGCCGACAAAATTACCTAAATTAACACTTTAATTTTCTTTACACCAATTAAAACTTAAAACACCAAAAATTTATCACGCTGATTCACTTTATTCCGCTCCGAAGCTTCGCTTGTCTCGCCAAATCCAATACTTCAATTTGATACTAGATGGCGCTAGTGCCGTCGACTTCGGCGCGTAACACTCCCCCCTCCTAAGACATGCTCGTCCCGAGCATTATCGGCCCCATAATATCGCGCCAGGCGATCCACATGGACGATCTTAGGAGTCCCTCTTGCGCCTTTCTGTAACGGCTCCGCAATGTCAAAAGCTGTCCTATCCCATGGTGCACCAACATTGTACAGTTTCGGTGCTCTGTAGTAGAGCTACATGTCTGAGGTCCCTTCACGGCCGCACACCTTGTACATGTACGACACCAATCCTCGACATCGTCACGATAATGGACCCAGTAAAACTGTTCTCGGACCTTCAGTAGAGTTCGTTTAACTCCCAAATGGACTCTTGAACGACCACTATGGCACAGCTGTAGAACATTCGGCACTTTAGCCTTAGGGACAACCATTTGCAAACGTCAGCTGTCTCCTCGACCATTGTCCCATTTACGGCACAGGACTCCATCCTGAATCAGCAAACTGTCCCATTGGGCCCAATAGCTTCTAGTGGTCGAACTCATCACTGAGACGTCGCTCCACTTAGGCTTGGTAGCACGGGCCTTCATCCATTCCAGAATCGGCTTGATGTCCGGATCTTCCTGCTGTGCATGTCGTAGGCTGTCCTTCCACTCGTTGCTGAGGTGGTCTGTCCTGAGCATCCTCACGGATACCACTTCCTTACTCTTTTGCTTAGTACAATCTCCAATCTTCACGACAAAGTCTTCTTAACAATGCATCTGCGTTGCCATGAGATTTCCCGCTGCGATGTCTGATAGTAAAGTTGTATCCCGGCTGCTGCTGGGTGGTGATGTTAGCCGCACTTCCCTTCTGAGATCCTTCACCTTCCCTTTCTAGGGTTCGCTTAGGGCAGCTGGATCGAAGATGGCCCCTTTCCCCACAGCCATAGCACCTAGGGCTGTATCCTTTATTGTGGTCGCGAACCGTAACTGCTGCAACCTCCCTAGCGCGAGGGGAACGACGATCCTGCCACCGCCAGGCGGTGTCGTTAGCTGCACTACCCTCTCGAGATCGATCAACTCTCCTTTCTACAGTTCACTTAGGGCAGCTGGATCGTAGATGGCCCTTTTCCCCACAGCCATAGCACCTAGGGCTGAATCCTTAGTTGCAGTCGCGAACTGTAGCTGCTGCAACCTCCCTGACGCGATAGGAACGATGATCCTGCCGCACGGCCTCCACCTCCAGTGCATGGGCCAAGGCGTCCTTAAGCGTCTTGTGGTGCCCGAGCCTCACAGCAGCTCTGACTTCCAGGTCGCGGATGCCGTCGATGAATGTCTGCACCAGGTTCCCTTCAATGAGCGCAGGTACAGACTGGTATGCTTTTCGCACCAGCTTCTCCACCTCTAGAGCCCACTGCTGCAGGTTTTCATTGATGCGCTGCACGCGATCTTTAAGCTGCGCACGAAAGACGTGTTCCAGGTGAGCGTCGCCATATCTCGCCTCCAACGCCTCACCCGAGAGCTTCCAGAACAGTTAAGGCCTGGTCGCGCAGGCCTAGTGTGAGAGCAGTTATGGCCTGACTTTTATTCCAGCCGTTCGCCTTCATAACAGCATCGAACTGGATTTTGTAGGCTGACCAGGAAGAAGTCCCGTCGAACGGTGGCACCTTGAACCCACGTAGCGAAGGTGTTGTAGCTACTACGGGAGCTGTAGTTTCATCTCCAAGCTTGAGTTCGTCCAGTGATTTCTTCATGTCAGCCATTACGTTTTCAACCCGATTGTTTACTTGGTCGATTCGGGTTTCAGCTTCCGAAGGTTGTATTTAGCAACCTTATCCTTCACCTCCCGTATCTCTTTTCCGAAGGTAGCGTGAAGGTCCTTCATGAGGAGCATCTGCTCTTCCAACCGACGGGCCTGTTCCTCTTGTCGGCGGGCTTGTTCATCCTGTCCGCCCCGCAGCTGCTCTTCCAACCGACGGTCCTGTTCCTCCTGTCTGCGGACCTGTTCCTCCTGTCCGCCCCGTAGCTGCTCTTCCAACCGTCGGACCTGTTCCTCCTGTCGGCGAGCCTGGCAGCAAGGCACCTAAGTCGGGTGCTGCAGATGTAGGAGCTACTGACGGGCCTGCAGCCGGTGGCTGGCCCTCCGACGTCTGCGGCGTTGTACCACCAAATCTTTCAATTTTAATTTTGCTTGAGGCGCGTAACACTACTTACAGATGACCACTTTTTCAAATATTCTACTATGTGAGTTGGTACTCCTTACTTCTACACTCCATACCTTGTTTGTTCTATTATTTACCACAGACTAATTAGAAGATTCTACCGAAGTAGAAGAATTCTGTATAATGTACCAGGCGGTCCCATAATGAATAGGCCCGATATAGTTCAACGCGACATGTCGCTACATGTTGTGTTGCATTAAATAATACGTTTATCGTGCACTTAATATAAGAAACATGCATCGACATGAAATGCTTAGTCTTAGTTTAACAGGCATTTGAATAACGAGAGTCGCGTATTTTTTCAAAATGTCGAAAACTGAGTATCAAAGTGTCATAAAGTTTCTCTTTAAAGAAGGTTTATCCCCTGCCCAAATAAAAGAATGATTGGATGGCGTGTATAAGGAGTCTGCCCCCTCCTATAGCACAGTGAAAAATTGGGTGAAAGAGTTTCGCCTCGGGAGAGAAATCGTGGAAGACTTTGGCCACGATGGTCGACCTGTGGAAGTGCTCGCTCCCGAAACGATTGCTCTTATCGAAGAGTAGGTTCTGAGTGACCGCCGTTTGAAGATTAGAGAAATTGCAGCAAGGCTTGGGCTCTCTAAGAGTACCGTTCATCGCGCGATCCATGAACATCTTCATATGAAAAAAGTGAGTGCAAGATGGGTACCGAAACTTCTTTCAGCGGTACAGAGACAGGAAAGAGTGCGCTGCGCTTCGGAGTTTTTGGATCGTTGTGGCGAAAATCCAAAGACTGTGATCGAGCGGCTAGTGACTGGTGATGAAACTATGATCTTGTATTATGATCCACAAAGCAAGCGCGAGTCAATGGAATGGCGTTATAAGGGTGAAAAGCCCCCTAGAAAGGCAAAGGTGCAACAATCGACAAAAACTGATGTGCACAATATTTTGGGATTTTCAAGGCATTTTGATGGTGGATTTTAAAGAACGTAATACAGTCGTGAACGGCGAATATTATGCTTCTTTAATATATAAATTACGAGACAAGATAAAGGAAAAACGTAGAGGCAAGCTGTCTAAAGGTGTCCTGTTGCTCCATGACAACGCCCCTGTTCATGCCGCTGGTTTTTCGAAGGATGCAGTTCGTCAATGCGGGTTCACAGAAGTTCAACATCCACCTTACAGTCCAGTCATGGCCCCGTCCGACTATTATTTATTTCTAAATTTAAAGCGGGACTTAAGAGGAAGAAAATTTTCAAGCGATGAAGAGTTGCAGGCGGCCGTCTTCAGTCATTTTGAGGATAAAAAATGTGATTATTTTTATAAAGATTTAGAGATGTTGATTCACAGATGTCAGAAGTGTGTTAGTATTCATGGTGATTATATTGAAAAATAAAATTGGTTTCGTTTCATTTCCTTCATTGGTTCATAGTTAGGCCAATTCATTATGGGACCGCCTACGTATATTTGGTGTAGACAGAGAATGATTCTCTGATGATACTTTGTCTATTGGTTTGTTGTAATGATCACGGAGATTAGAGAGAAGGAGAACGATCGCTTCGTACTCCTAAATTATAGCCCGCCTGTCCTTGAAAATTTGTAGAATTTTTAGCGGCATTTTTGACAAAAAGAAACATTAAAAAAATGGAAAAATATTTTATTATGCGAGGATATGCGGGAGGCTTAGCATCTGATCGGAAAAATAGACTGAAAATAACTTTTGTTGAGAGAATTTAGCGATCGCAGCGCCGCACTTATTTTGTTCATATTTCTAGGAGAATATTTTCTACAGCGATCGTTCTCCTTCTCTTTAACCTCCATATTTTCTAGCTTGCTAGCTTTCTACATATCTATTCTCTAGTATTAGTATATATTTTTTTGTCTATGGAAATATCAAAGATGGCTATCGGTGTTGACTCCTCAAAATGGAAACCTAGAAGATTAAAAGGAACTCCTGCAGCTAAAGTTTGTAATATAATCGGATTTAGCGTATTAACTTTTGGTATTATATGGGGTGCTTTATATCAGTAAGTATTTAATAAAACGTTAAAAAATGTAATATGCTTTTAGGTTAACTCATCTGTTTGTTTTTATTTTAGATTTTCAAGTGTAACAGAAAAACTTCGGAAAAAGTTAGACATATTTTATGAGGAATCTGTGACAGAAGTTGAAAGAAAACAGATGATCGCTAGTGGTTTGCGAAATAGAACAGGCGATATGATACGAAAGCTTATGGAAGAGGCTGAGAGACCTGATCGACCTGATAAGTAGCCTCAAATATGCTTACAATTTATGTAGATATATTTTACACCAGTTAATAAATTATGTAGAATATATTATGTTTGTTTGTATTTGCCATAATATGATTAATGACTAAACAAATTATAAAAAGTAAGTATTTTGAAAGTCCTGTTATGGATGAAAGTCTCACAGACTTCCAAGAGCCAAAAAACCAATGCACTGGTCCTAAAAGGTTTCAGAAGTCTAAAGTCCATAATAAAAAAGCTAAACCTAGGAAACATATTAAAGGTCAAAAAGATATAAGAGCTTTAATAAAATCAAAGAAAAATGATATTGTCACTTATACAAAGGAATTTAATGATGTTTGTTTAAAAAGCGGTATTGATGTCGACTCTGAACAGTTGCAGTTAGCCATAGCTTTATCAAAGTCTCTTCAGCACACTGGAGAGCAGACAGATGCAGAAAGCTCACAGACTACCAAGTTAACTTCACAAGAAAGAACAAATAAAATACGCAGGACATTAGAAGAATTCGGATTTAATGTTATTAAATCTGAATGGAAATTAAAACCAGAGACTAATAAGAGATTGAAATGGTGCAAAAAACAATGCAAATTACTATTGACGTCAGAAGAGGAAAGACAGCAAAAAATTTTGGATAAATATTCCCAAGTACTATTCCAAAATTTAGATTATTCGTTTGATAATGATAAATATGAAAACAATATAATTACCAGTGGCTTATACTATCTAACAACAAATATAAAATATGAATTAATGAAGAGTAATGAAATATTTTACGTACCAGGTTTACTACACGACATTTCTTATGTCAAAAGTAACTTACTGAGAGATTGGTCTGAAATACCTGGTAGACCAACAAGCCCTAAACTTAAAAAGGATTTTGTTGTTTCTATTTCAGATCTAGAATGTACTCAAACTGAATTAGATATAATACTGAGTGGGTCATTAAAAGCAGCAAAGGATATATATAAATTTAAAATCATTCATTCAAATATACTAAAAGAAGAACTAAAGAAGGGTTATGGTAAAGATTCTATCACATATCAAAATCTTGACAAATCTGTCATAAGTCTAAACAGAGATTCAAAAAGGGTTGAAACAAAAGTTGAATCCAATAAAACAACAATGCTTTCCTTACCACAGAGAGGAAGGAGCCTTTCCCCAGACATCTTTGGGGATGAAGCTTCTTCATTAATAGACAATTCTATTACGTACACAGGAAATGGAGATGAAAATATTAGAAAAGATGATGCTGATAAAGATGTGGTAGATTTAACACAGACTGTGGATGTTATAAGCCAATCAAATATAACTAAACCATGTTCCCAGCTGTCCCAATCAAGTAATGGAACTAAAAGAAAAACCAATGACTATATGGATTTAACTGATTGTGTGCCTGTGTCTTTGCAAAAATTAAATACTTATTCATTGTCTCTGACATCAAAGGTATCTGAAATTGAACAAGTACAAAATGATTGTATGGAAATCACTGAATGTGTTAATCCACTAAGTCAAGACCATAATATCCTTAATAATGAAAATGTTGCACTAACACAGAATATTGCAGATTATGCACATGTAGAAACAATGAATCATTGTAAAGAAAATAAGAAAAGTGTAATTACAATGGATCTTACACAATCATCTAACTCAGATGAAGATTTACCAATTGTAGATATTGGTGGTTCAGAAGCAAAGTCATCAGATGATATCATTATTGTACAACATGATGACTACAATAGTATCATTCCTACATCACCAAAATGTAAGAATTTAAAACCAAACCATGGTTTGACCAAAGAAGAAAATGTTATTTTTATAGAAAAAAATAATGGGGATTCTACACTAGATAACAATTTTGAAGACAAATTCAATAATTCTGTTATAGTATCACATGAATATGACCATAATGAACAAAATAGTGATATTGATTTAACTCAGTGTTCAGATTCATCAGTAGAAGTATCTCAAAAAAGCTTTAAATCTTGGAGTGTATCTGAAAATCAAGAATGCAATGAGTTTCAGAACCTAGGTAAAAAAGATAATGTTTCCATAGATTATGATGAAATTTGTATAGATGCTCCATCGAAAGAGAAAGGTTTAGATGGACAGTTTGATGATATTCACACAAGATATGCAAACATTTTCGAAAATGAAACAGAATCATGTAAAAACCAAATGGCAAGTTCCAAGAGTGATCTTGTTTCTAATTGTAGTAATAACTCTGAACCATTTAATTTGTCTGATAAGGAACTTAACTATTCCATGCATAGATCAAAAATAGAACATTTTGATATGGGTGGTATATCAATTATTGATGAAATTTGCAACATAAATGAAGCGAAAAATGATACTAACTTAAAGAAAAATTGTTCTTTAAATAGATCGTTAAGTGAGAGTTGTCTGCCAAACATTTGTTTTAAAGATAATAAAACAAAAACAACTGAAGCATACATTACACTAAGTCAATCCACATCTTCAACCCCAATAAAGGCAATTATTAAAGATAACGAAATTTCAGTACAAACACCAACAAATAGCGAATATATTGTAAAAGTGGGGGAAGTAACGCCTATGTTAGATTATGCAGCAATGTCTTCCCCTGAAAGGAATAAAGAATTAGAAAAATATGGTTTGAAGCCATTCAAACGAAAAAGAGGTAAGACTAAGAATTTATTAAAAATTTCCTTTGAGATTAAGTAAAACCGATAAAGAGTTTTTAATCTATAGCTATAGAGAGGACTACGGACGTACGGAGGAGACTCAGGGTTTCTCTGCATGATAAACTTAGAAATGAGGATATCTGCAGTAGAACCACAGTGAACGACATAGAACAATGGATTAGTAAGCTGAAGTGGCAATGGGCTGGCCATATAGCTCAAAGAACCGAGGCAGCCTCCTACTGGTAGGCAAAGTGTAGGGCGACCCCCTACTAGATGGCGTGATGACCTGTTAAGACATGCAGGAGGCTCAGGATCGTGATTTGTGGTATTCCTTGGAAACCTTGTAAAGGGCTCTAATGATGATTGTTGATGGTATCACCCCGAAAGAGATTACTGAGGGCAATAAATGAGGAGATGGGCAGCTGTATCGACTTTAACTATAACAAAAAAAAAAGCTTTGTTTGTTAACTCATTTAAATAATCAATAAATATGTATAAACTCATAATAAATGTTATCAGAATCATCCTATGGTTGTTTCAAATGATGGTTTGGGTTAATAAAATAAGTATGAAGCCTGTGTTTAATAGTCATGTTAGTTAAAGCACCTAATGTCATCAGGAAGCATATTCAGGAGCTTTGCAGCTTAAAGATAAAGGATTTGGAGATAAACCCTAAATAATGAATGAATAAATCCAGGGCGAATCTGGCCAACCTGTTACAAAAAAGGCAGTCTTGTCACAACGCATTTAATGCTAGTTCAAACTCTTGCTCCTTGCTCATCATTAATTATCGTATTATATTCGTTGCGCTTGTGCGCTCTCTTTAATACTTGCAAAAGATTTATTTTCGCTTTTTGAAGACTTCTTATCTTTAAGACATATAATCTGAAAATTAAAATACATGCACACTTCACTGGCCTTCTCAACAATCTGTTTCCAGTTCAAGCTGCACTCTTAAACTCTTTGCATGAAGACATTAGAAAACCACCAAATAGGTAAGAGTAATATATTGGTTTAGGAACATTTTTCAACAACTACGTCCAGATAAGATCCAAGGAATATTGTGTTAAAATTTATTCGTACTCAAGCTGTTTCCCGCGACTTTGCCCGCGTGGAATTTAATACGATTAGATTTCGTGAGCTTTAATTTATTTTTAATTTAAAGTAGCTTAAGTTACTCCTTATAGCATCAGCTATCTACCAGTGAAAATCCTGTCTACATCGGTTAAGCCGTTTCAGAGATTAGCTGGGACAGTCAGACGGACAGACAGACCTGCAGATGGATAGACAAATTTTTTTTGTTTTAAGTACCTTCATATGTACATATTTAGTAAGAAGTTGTTATTTTGACATGACAAACAGACATTTCAATTTTATTTATTTGTATAGATGTATGGATTAAGTTTGGTATATATTATGTATTTGTTTGTATTATTATGTATTCGTTTTTTAAAGTACAAGCAGATTTTTATCTTTTTATTATATTTAACTAGCGATCCGCCCCGGCTTCGCACGGGTGATATCTGGATTGCACAACAGCGCCATCTTGTTGACAAAGTTTTACCGTTATCTGATGAACGGTGTGGCAGCACATAAAATACGAACAAACAAATATTACTTTATTATATTGTATATCACACTAGCTGTTTAGTAGTAATAGTAGATATGAATTTCATGGGGTTTAATTTTTTTTGTGCGGAACCCTAATTTTTTCCTATAATAAAAATAGCCTAAATTACTCCTTATAACGTCAGCTATCTGCCAGTGAAAGTACCGTCAAAATCTTTCTAACCGTTTTGGAGTTTAGCCGGAACAAACAGACAGACAGATCATTTTTTTTGTTATAAGTAGCATATTTAGTCAAAAGATGTTATTATTATATTACAAACAGTCACTTCAATTTTATTTATTTGTATATATAATTTAAGACACCTACAACTACTTTTCAAACTGTCAGGGACTGTCTAGTGTCATCAATTCCATCTTTTGTTACGTTTAAAGTTAAAACATATATGAACGGTAACTTTTAAATTTTCAGCTATCCAGCTCTTAACCCATCTGTACAACCAAACTCATCCACTGATAGAGTACTGCTCTGAGCAACCTATACCCCCCAAGAAATTAAAACTTGATTCTCCTAAGAGCACATTAAGCTTACAACAGAAGCATAAAAGTCCGAAGAAAATTAAGGATATATCAGAAAACACTAATTTCAATAAGGGAAATGATATTTACAAAGAAACAAAAGATGTGCCTGATATAAGAGACATAGGATGTAGTGCTGAAGATTGGGTGTTTCAGAAGAGAGAAAAAGCTAAGGTAAATTACTGCACTGTACTTTCATCTTTAAATTATAATTTTGCGTCCACATGTACAACTTTATATATTAAAAAAGATGCACTATCACAACGACGTTCCTAAGCATCGTGTCAACTCCTTTGTGTTGTGATGGTGGCTAAAATATTTTCTTTAACAAATTAAGGAAGTTGTTCATATGCTTTCGAAGTTCGAAACTTAAGAGATTACTTAATATTTACTTTCTCTAAAATATTTTAATATTTATATTCTCAAGAAAAGTGTTTACTTTTTTCTAATAGGCTGGCAACACACCTGCAATTCCCCTGGTGTTGCGGTTGTTCATGGGCGGCGGTAATCGCTTACCATCAGGTGAGCCGCATGCTCGTTTGCCCCCTCTCCTATAAAAAAAGTTAAATCATGCGATATTAACCTAACATTATATAACTTGTGTAACTCTCTATTTGGAGTTAAAACTGCTATATTTGGAATTATTTTGAACTATATGAAGTCATGTAATCATTGGCCACAGTTTGCTGCAAGCAAGACGACGGGGTAATTACCTTTAGCAACATCTGTACATAAATTAAAAGTGCTGATGTCGATTTCAGCTGCTTTAAAAATATTGTTGCCGTTACAGCCAAGAATAGGTCTCCTCCATAGATTGCCTCATGGCATTTTTTCATTTCATTTTTCCATAGTTGCCACGATATACAAGCTGGTGGGCAACCGCAGTTGTTTTATTCTTTTGAGATGTTATCATGAAGATGCTGCTGCCCATCTCCTGTTTCATTTTTCCTCTGTCGCCTCTTACGACACCCTCGGGATGATTTGGGGTAGTGGATATTCTTCTTTTTACGTGGTAAAGCCACGCTATAGCTATATTATGGTTGTAACACGAATGGGTTGGCTCGACCGGGGAAGGACCACGCTCTCACAGAATACCAGCGTAAAATAGCAGCTTAATACTGCTGTGTTTCATATGTTAAGTGTAGAGATCCGGAGACCCTTTTTTACTGGAAACGAGCCATTCTATTTTAATCTCCAGGGGTGACAACGCATCTGCGTTTTGATTCTTAATCGAGGACTAATGTAGATATCTATAAGCTACAGCATCCACTTACCATCAGGTGGACATCACCCTTATTCTATAAAAAACTGCCACCACAAGGTAAAAATGCTGATGGAATAGAAATAACATAGAAAAAAAATGTATTTATTGTTTTCAGAAATGATGGTAGTGCTAGAGGGCGTTCCTCCGTGTCGATCAGTTCTTTAGAGAGTGATGATTTGGAGTTTTAATAGCTTACATGTAGCCGTGATTGTGACATTGTTTGCTTTGTGAAACCGAGAGAAATAACAATACTTGTGTCATATTGCACATCATGTGGCAATGTTTTTTAACCAATGCGAGTGCAGAAAAAATCGTTTCCAACGACATCAACATAAAGTAATTAAATTATTAAAACTGACATGAGTTATAGTATGTTCACCACTATACTTTTCAGATCCATGCATGCCGTGTGCCGTTGCACATAGTATTCCATAACTACGTCTCGTGCCGTCGTGGCTTGCGGGAAGCGATACTCCGCTATGAACCGGTCAATATTGATGTCATACACAAAGACCTCGTCTCTTATGGCTATCGCTATAATCCTAAGGTATCAACTTTTTTTTTAATAGAAATAAGGGTGATGAGCGCACAGACTACCATATGTTACGTGCTTGTTATGGCTGATATAAACCTTATAAATCCTCGATTATTAATTAACTGCGGGTGTGTTGTCCCCCAGGACTAAGATGGAATGCCTTTTTTATTCATTACCAAGGTTCAGCTCACCTTCCTATATATCGCCTCATCATCATCATCATCATTACAGCCCTTTACAAGTCCACTGCTGAACATAGGCCTCCCCCAAGGTATGCCACAAAGCACGGTCCTGAGCCACCTGCATCCATCGACTTCCTGCATGACGTACTAGGTCGTCACTCCATCTAGTGGGGGGTCGCCCTACACTTCGCCTACCGGTACGAGGCCGCCACTCGAGAACCTTTTTTCCCCAGTGGTTGTCGGTTGTCGGTTCTTCGAGCTATATGGCTGGCCCATTGCCACTTCAGCTTACTAATCCGTTGGGCTATGTCGGTCACTCTGGTTCTACTGCGGATATCCTCATTTCTAAGTTTATCACGCAGAGAAACTCCGAGCATAGCCCTCTCCATAGCTCACTGAGCGACCTTGAGCGTCCTCATATGGCCAGCAGTGAAGGACCACGTCTCAGATCCGTAAGTCATCACTGGCAACATGCACTGGTTGTACAATCTAGTTTTCAGAGTTTGAGGTATACCTGACGAGAAGATGTGTCGTAATTTCCCGAACGCTGCCCAGCCGAGTTGAATCCGTCGATTGACCTCTCGGTCGAAGTTGGACTTACCTAGTCGGACTATTTGTCCCAGGTAAACGTACTCATCAACAACTTCGAGCTTAGTGCTCCCTGCTGCTTATATCGCCTCACAAGAGTTATATTTGCGATTTATGCTATAGGTGTAGTTAACGCTGTTGATGATGAAATAGTAATTATGATAAATATTTTGATCTGGGAGTTCAGATTACAAGACTGTTGAGTTAGTTCATGAGTTAGAGTATCAGTTGAAGTCAAAAATAGTGTAAAAACCCCAAACCTAAACACTATATATCATGGGTTTCTAATATAAATAAAATAAATAAAAATAAAAGAGCCTTTTATTTCATGCTAAATAAGTTTTACAAAATAACTTTTTTTGCAATGTAATTTGCATTTTATAAAGAAAATATAAATTATGATTTTTTTTTTAGATTTTAATACATTAATTTATTTCATTTTTTAGATTTTTTAAGATTTTAATACATTAATTTATTTGTATATTATTGAATGAATTTGGTTGAGTTAATTAATGTCGTAATTTTGAGTATGATAATTATTTTTCATAATATTTGGTTAAAATTTAAATAGGTATGCATTATATTAGTAACATTAATATTTTCAATCAATGTAATTTATTTATAAATTTTAAGTGATTATTTTAAATGGATTTGGTTTTTTATAAAATTAAGAATATGATATATTTAATTTACATTAGTTGCAAATTGACAAATATTTTTTTTAATTAATAATTTATATAAATATAACAAACACAAATGAGTACATTTGTGTTTGTTTACTTTCCATGGACCCCCCTTAGGTGAAGGCCTCCTCCAAAGATTTCCATTAGTCTCTGTTTTTTCGACAATTTAAGGTGTCTTCCTTTGGAGGGTGGTGGTCATAATCTTCCACGGTGACCAGCCGGGTTGGAAGATATCTTATATTGCTTAATTGGACTTGTTATTTTATAAAATCTGTAGTAGGAGGGGTGCTAGTTGCTATGTATTTTTATCTTTGTTGTCATATTTGCCTCATTTTGTGTTGGTATTATTATTAACTAAATAGTTCAGCACGCCAGGTTTCAAAACTCCTTCAGAAATACTACTGGATCTTGGAGCTGATGATTGCAATTTCAGGGTTTTCTTTTTCTTACTGGCTTGCGTGTTTTTGTGTCCTTGTGAATGGAGAAAGTTTTCAGGTGAGGTAGACAATGTTCTTTTATTGTTGTTTTTTAATATAATTAGTTTGTCGTATTTTATGATTGCATTATTTCCCTTTTCTCTCTCTATTTTTAGTTGTTGTTGTAATTCTTTTTGCTTTTTTTTTAAAAACATATGCCGGGTAATTTTCTTTCATATAATATGGAGTGTCATTTAGTGCCCCTTTTTGTTTAAAAATTTTGTTCTTCAGGCCAAGAGTTGTAAATGTTACTACTATTGGGCGAGGTCTGTCTCCTTTTTTTCCTATTCTCTTCATTTCTTGGATATCTCTACTATCTAACTTAATAGAGAAATGTTGCTCTATTATCTTGGTAAAGTTGTTCACTAAGTTTTCATACGATGATTCTTTCTCTAATATACCAAAAAATACGATGATTCATTGTCTTGCCTCCTTTTCCAAGAAGTACAGTCTTTTCTCTTGGTTTACAACTCTTTCTTCCAATTTTTTTATGTTTTTCTTCCCATACACAAACTTTTTCTTCCAATATTTTATTTATATTCTGTGTTACTTGTTCTGTTACATTTCTCCGCTTTTACGAATCATAGTTTTTTTTGTTCGTCTAATTCTTTTTTGTATTTTTTTAAGTGCATTCATAATTTCTTCCATGGTTTATTATTTACCTGAGGCGCCCTCTTGTAAACAGACTTTGTATTATCAGATTGATGGTAAATACTCAATAAAAGCTCAATAGTTTAGCGTTGTAATATGGTCTGTTTATAACAGATGGCGCTGAGCGTTATTTGAGTGTTGTTGAACGGTTATAGTTGGTAATTTTTGAACAGTCATTTAATTTTGAGGTTGTGTTTTTTAATGTTTTTAACAAAATGGTAAAACTGCACTTAATTTTTGACCTCATAACACTTCAGCACAAGTGAACATTACTTTAATTAGAGTTTGGCCTGTATTTGCGAGAAAAAGTCCACAAACAGAAATCACTGACAATTGTTTTTGCACTATAAATAGTTTTGATTTTCAATTGTTTGTTGATAGTTATGTCACTTAACTCCAATATATAATATTTATGCCAAAGTTTTGTATCACTTAACACTTTAACACATTAAAAAAACCATTTGTTTTATATTTTTAACTTGATTTCTTTTACGGAGTCGATGTATACCATGACACAGTAGCGCCCTCTCTTCGGGTTTCTAATATAGCAGGAGTAAATTACTATGGGTTACTTATGGGTTATTTTGCAATAACTGACCAATTTTGTAGGAAAGGTTCAGAACACTGACCTCTATATATACAAGTACGCTGGACTGGCTATACACCGTGACATGATGAAGCGATTTGATTTCCGCCATTTTGGCGCTGACAGCAGAAGTGCACGTCCACGGAACTAATAATAGGGATGAGACAAATGTACCAAATTATATCGATAAAAATTCTATACCCTACCTATGCCTAAATAGAATGGACTCTATGGATAGATGGACCCTACTCGTAGCGTCCATTCTATATATGTATCATATTAATGTAATGCCATTATCATTCATCATCATTAAACCCCTTAACAAGTCCACTGCTGAACATAGGCCTCCCCCAAGGAATGCCACAAAGCACTGTCCTGAGCCACCTGCATCCATCGAATTCCTGCATGTCTTACCAGGTTTTGACTCCATCTAGTGGGGGGAACGTCCTACACTTCACCTGCCGGTACGAGGCTGCCTTTCGAGAACCTTTTTTCCCCATCGGTATTTGGTTCTTTGAGCTATATGGCCGGTCGATTGCCACTTCAGCTTACTAATCCATTGGGCGATGTCGGTCACTCTGGTTCTGCTGCAAATATCCTCATTCCTAAGTTTATCATGCAGAGAAACCCCGAGCATAGCCCTTTTCATAGCTCGCGGAGCAACTTCAAGCTTCCTCATACGGCCAGCAGTGAAAGACCTCGTCTCAGATCCATAGGTCATCACTGGCAACACGCACTGGTTGTACAATCTAGTTTTGAGGTATTCCTGACGAGAAGATGTGTTGTAATCTCCCGAACGCTGCCCAGCCGAGTTGAATCTATATCTATAAATCTGACTATTTATCCAAGTAAAAATACTCGTCAATAACTTCAGCTAAGTGCACCCAAAAACCACCGGCATAGGTGTGACATGGACATTACACATGACTTTTGTTTTGTCCATGTTCATCTTAAGACATATCCGTTGGGAGACACTATTGAGGTCATTGAACATAGTGCGTAGGTCCTCCAACGATTCTGCCATAAGGACTACAATGTCGACAAATCGAAGGTGAGTGACGTACACGCCATTGACGTTAATACCATATCCTTTCCAGTCCAGTAGCTTGAAAACGTCTTCCAATGCAGCGGTAAAGTATTTCGGAGATATTATGTCACCCTGTCTTACACATCCCTACAGTTGGATTAGTTTTGTACTCTAGTTCTGTACTTGGATAGCCATCGTAGCCCTTAGATCATTCAACTAAAAAATTATTAAGATTAAACTAACTACATGAAATAAAAATAAAAACATAATTTCTAAAATAATTTATTGTCAACCGTTCATTTAGTTCTAGTATTATAAAAAACAAATCAGCTGCTATAATTACGCCTATTCTAATCAACAACAGGGCTGTCTATAAACAGTAAAATATTTTCTACTATATAAAAAATTATGTTTGTTCGTACTTTCTACGATGCTATACCGTTCATCAGATTGCGGTAAAACTTAGTCAACTTATTGGTTGCACTTGTGCGAAGGTTATACGCATGGTACAATTAACTGACACTAGTTGGCGTGCGTATTATACTGACTACTTATTTGAAAGTTTTAGAAAGTTATATATCATTCTATTTCAATGATTTTATTATCATTCCTAATTATACAATGTAACTGTTCCACATTTTTAACGATATTTCCTCAATTATTTCTTCTGTAGCAGCAATGCGCCGGGTACGAGCTAGCAAGATAATATAAAATAATATAAACTTTGAATTACATAGTTATCAGTTATTTGCAACGTAATTTTCGAAATTAAAATAACAATATTAAAAAAAATAACTGAAATTATCATACATTCCTACTTTCCGTGGTATCGTCCCAAGAATGCTGGCTACGTGTCCTCTCAGAATGGCTAAACTTAGCCTTCAAGCGAGGAAGCAACAAACTAAACAACTTTTTATTACCAGCAGCAAAGATCAGTCACCGATACAGTTTTTTTTTCAGCCCACTAAAACACATTCAACGTGGCTCGACATCATCAGGCGACCTTTCGACACTTGGCTATGGCCCTTGAGTTTGGTGGAAAATGAGGAAAGAAGAAAAAAAAATACATTAGAAATAATAATCTAATGCTTTTATACTTACTGGTACTGGTACTACCAGAAAATATTGTCGGTATACTGCATCTTTTCAAAGTGGTGCAGTTCTCATGTCTAATAAAACAGTCGTCTGTGAAATGTTTGGAACAAATATGATCATTTTGTTTCGGACGCCAATTCACAATATTTATGCTTTTAAGCCATAATTTTAGTCTAGGTTCAGTTGGAAACCTGTTAATTAATAAACATTTGATGATCGTCTGTTGTTGGCGACTTTGTTTGTTAACATATATGGGTAGGAAAGAACATCGTTAAGTATTATAGACAAGGAACTCGACAACCAACCCTATTAAAATTTTATTGTTCATCAAAACTCAGTAATATACAGCCAAAGATGTTGGTATATATGATATTAAGATTAGTAACAAATTTGTAAGTACTTACATTATCAAATATTTTTAATTTGTTTAATATTTGCTGCAAATTTACTTACTTGTGAAATGTTATATCACTTCCCTTTTGGTAACGAGTTTTACAGATTACGCACACTCTCATTATTAATAAAAATAATACTTATTATGTAACTAATATTATACACAATTAAGCAACATAAAATACTTTCGTTTTTTAGTTTAAAATTTAAAAATACAGATTTATTAAATAAGACAATTTAAATATGACAACAAACTTTGGCATATTATGTCAATTTTATTTTTCAAGACATCCTTTAGCGGCGCTTCAAATTGGCACAGTCATTTTCTATGGTACAGCCAGTCCAGTGTACTTGTATACATAGAGGTCAGTGGTTCAGAACAAGTAATATAGGCAAATGGTGAAGAAAGAATAATTAAAAAATCTCAAATAATTAATTAATCTCGAATATCTTTTTGATATTTTAAATTCAAAATGCGTGGTAATGCATTATTTTAACTGATTTTATTGCGCACGCACACATTCGGAAGAGTCGATTGGTAGGCAAAAAACGTTGTTGCCCATAAATCACATTCAATTTAGGATTATTTCAAATAAACGTAGAAGCCTTATTTACTTGTATTTTTAAAAACTGCAATAACGGTATATCATTATTTATATATTTGCACTTAAGTTAAAAATTTGGCTACTCTTTGAAAAACAACCTTGCTTAACACGTTTTGTCACTGGTAAAAATAGATGTAAAATTCAATATACTCTGGTTCAGAAGCAGCATGTGCTGACTTTTTTTCAAATACCAACTTCACCCGCACTGCGGTGCTCCCTGATGATTAAGGGACGATCCCTACCAACCAACTGATAGTGGAAAGTTCATCTAAAGACGCCGAAACCAGACTTCACAGTCTGGTGGTGAAGTACCAGTGCTAATGTATTGGCCATGCACTCATTATTTCGCTTGTAAAGATATGGTGTGATTATGGACAAATCTTTTCAAGTAGTGCCAGCCCGCAATTTCTTGGAAGATCGTATGTCCAGCTTAGGGCATCCAATCCCGCAAATTATTTGTAATCGCGGTTTTTGTGTGGTCGGGGATTTGCGATCTCGCCGGATCTCGAATTTTGCGGGATTCCGCAAGTGTACGTAAATGCTACAAAAGCTGAACTATCTACTGAGTGTTGCGTAAAGAAAAGAGGTGTTTATATGTTAAAAATAAAAATCTGTATGTATGCATTTATTCTTGATCATCATTTATTAATTTTATTTATAATGAACTATTGAATTGCAGTAATGAAAAAAAAGTAAGGTAAGACTTCTTCTGTTGAAAATGTTTACGAAGAAAGCATAAAGAATCCAAAGTCTCATCTGCCAGACTGCTTCTATAATTAATGTAATACAGTAATACAATAAAATAACTTTATTTCAGGCATCAAGGACTTAAAAAAGTAAGAACATTGGCCCATAGCAATATACACCTTAACCTAAAAATATGTATAAAATATAAATATAACACTATTTAGGGAACTTTTTTCTTTGGCGCGTCCCTGAATCGGCGAAACACTACCCCAGAGGGCCAGAAATCGGGAGCAAGGAATGTCTCTTTGTATTTTGCAGGGACTTGGAGTACGTAGGATTTGAAGTTCGTTGACCTATTAGACCCCAGACGCTGCAAATGTAAAGAGATCGGATCCTCTATGCGGCATCGGTTTCGTTCTTCCACGAAACGCAGGACGTCTTCTCCCGACGTACTTTTGTCCAAACGGGAGATGTAGAGCTGTATGGTAGGCTCCACAGTACGCAGAGTTGTGCATGCATTTATTTTGGCGGTCCCACGCTGGTTACAGACGGGTCTCGACCGACGTCTCTTCTCAAAAAGAGTAAACCCGTCATTATCTCTCTTGTTTCGGGTCACCACAGGAACTGATATTACATCCCCATTATTTTGTTTTCGACCACAAGAGGATACCGGTTGTGAAGATTTTCGAGCAACATCCGCAAACGTCTTCCCTTGTTGACAGGTTGGCTTCGGCGGAGGAGTACTCAAGGGTTCAGTCAAGGGCTGAGGTGGTGCTGCAATGACGACCGAGGTCGCCCTAGGTTCACGGTCATCAACCCGCAGACAGACGGTATCGCGTGACGGAGTCGCAATCATCGGTGAAATATGACTTCTATTACGATTACCGCGTGTCGTATTTACATTTTTAAGTCCTTGATGTTGCAATTATGTTGCGCAACATAGTGACTTCGTTTTTCAGCTCAGTTGCGGTTCGTTCCGATTCTTCAAATTTAAAACGGAGATCGGTGACTTCGGCTTTCAACGTGGTGATGTCTTTCAACAATCTGGTCACGTCTACGTGATCGAACGTCACGGGAGGCAGCTTGTTGAGATCACGCGCGACGAAAGTTGGGATGTCATCAGCTCGGTCTCATTGAACAGCCTGCAGATGTCATGCAAGTCTTTCTTATCGCGTTCATCTCTATGACGTGTTATAAGACGGATTTGGGTCACGGCTGAATCTGCTAACACCTTCTTCGCTTGGATGATCTCGTCCTCGGTGAAGCTGGTCATCAGTATCTGCTCCAGGGACACCTGGTCCATGACGTCCAATTTTTGTTGAACAAAGGCCAGGAACTCGTTAACTACGACGGTATCGGAGCGTTTAGGTTGACACGCCATTTCGAATTATTTTCGCGCAGTTGGTATGCTTACGCTACGAAAATATTGTAGGTTCGGCATTAGAGCCGTCACATTACTATGAAGCGACTGCACTGACCGGCAGTAGAAATGCGACTCAATAATAAAGTAATAGAGAGCCTGCAGCCGAGAAAGTTCTTTCGGCGCTAATTCCTTACTCTGTGCTTTTGGCTTCCACACTAATGGGTGGAATAGATTTAAGGGCATTATATGTCAACGTCAAATACTTGCCCATCTAATCTCCCGATTCAGAGTAATTCTTTTTTAATTATGTGCTCGACGGAATTGACCTGGGACGCTACAGAACAGTTTCAGTTTTTTTCGTCATCATTTTGTTGCATCATTTGTCGCCCCAACAATAGAATGCACGTCGACGTCGTGCCGCCGTTCGTCAATATATACGCTTATATAATGCATCTTCTGCATTGACTCCTTTATTTCCTTTGGTAGCACATTTTTCGATGGAAAGCTGAGGCTTATTGGTAGTGTAGCTACCGGGACTTTGGAGATAAATAAAAATAATCAAGCTTGTTTTCCTTTGTAAAATACGTTGTCGTAATAAAAGATCCAATTCTACAGCCAACTTCGAAGTTGAACTAACTTCCTCTAACGACTTTATACTTCTCGCTAATCCACCAAATACGTGAATCTCGCACACGTCCCGAACCCCGCTCCCCGCGGACTAGAAAATGGTGCGGGATGTCGGTATTTCGAAATAATTTCCGTTGGTTGACTTTTGTGTCACCGTGGCGGTGTAAGAATAAACACTACCTCACATCGTACTCCGTAGGTGTCGAAACTGATGGAAAAAACTAATTAAAAACAAACTTTTTTTATAGGATAGGATGACAAACGAGCACACAGCCCACCTGATGGTAAGTGGTTGCTGTGGCCCATAGGCATCTACATCTCTCCTCGGTTACGAATCAAAATGCAGATGCGTTGTCATCCGTAAGGATTTACGTGGAATGCCTCGTTTCCAGTAAAAAGGGTCTCCGGTTCTCTACACTCACCATACGAAACACGGGAGCATTAAGCTACTATTTGACGCTGGTGTTCTGTGAGAGCGTGGTCCTACAACTATACTACTAATATAACTACAGCATGGCTCTACCACGTAAAAAAACTAATGAAAAATAACAAAATAATGAGAACAAAACTGCGGTTGCCAACCCGCCTGTCAAGTAACTATGGCAGATATCCTGCTTATGAGGCAATCTGTAGGGGAGGCCTATGTTTAGCAGTGAACGTTGGAAGGCTGTAAGGGGATAATGGATTCCCACATGTCTGCTACTAATCACTAATGTATAGATATTATAATGTTTAACATGTTTGCATGCAAAATATGTAAATTGTTAAATAAGTTGGCCATTGGTCAAACACTTAAACGCTACTCAGTTTCAAGATGTCGTAAGTCCCGTGGTGTCTCAGTCACTTTGACTTAAAGTGATAGAGACAGCACGAGACTTAACGGCATCTTGAAATTGAGTAGCGTTTTAACTTAATTGCATATTTAAATTTAAAAAAAAAATTATAAGTCTTAAGTTTTAATTTCTGTTTTCATTCCAGGATCTTCTAAAATTCTTAGATAAAAAATGCATCACTGTGAAGACTGCTGACAATAATGCAAGAAACAGTAAAAAATAACGCTTTTTGTAACAACATGTCGTTGTCAATGTAAATAATAGGGTATTTGTTAATATTTATACATTTACTTATTTTGTATAGAGATAGAAGCGATTCAACTATGTACATATGCCTTATTTTAAAATAAAAAAGTGACATTATGAGTGATATTATTGAATTGAAAAATCTTTATTGTAACATACTCAACAGTTTGTACATATATTAGTGTTTATTTTCAATTTTTTAATATTATTTCATACAATATAAAAAATAGTTTTATTCTCTCCATGTTTCATTTATACATGGTACATACTTATTAACTGGTGAGGATACAGAGGGTAAATACAAGGGATTTTAAAGTATATTTTAATTTTACTCTTTATTTAAATTTTATATCATAGAACTTCAATGTTAGAGACAATTACAATTCTCAAGTTGACGTATCAACCCGAGAATTGTAATTGTCTCACAGGATACCAGCGTAAAATAGCTGCTCAATGCTGCTGCGTTTCCTATGGTGAGTGTAGAGACGACTCTTTTTACTGGAAACGAGGTTATTTGATTTTAGTCCTCAGGGATGACAACGCATTTGCATTTTGATTTTGATTTGATGTATCTGTAGTTTGATTCTTAATCGAGGAGATGTCTATGAAAGAAGGAAACATTTATTTGCACATAAATGCATGTTCGGTGGCGTGTTCAAGCTTTCTTCTGCTTGTATTAGGCATGCAAATGGGTCACGGCATCCACTTACCACCAAGTTTCCTGTGTGCTTGTTTGTCACCTAGTGTAGAAGAAATTATATAAAAAACGAACAGTTTTAATTCACAATTAGCCTAAACAAGCCACTGCTCGAAAGATCCACCGTTGTTAGACAGATTGAAAATACAGTATCCCACCCCGTTCAGTTTTAATGCTGTCAAATGCAGTATTGCTGCCCGTTTAGCTTTAAATCTGTCAATTAAATATACATTTTGAATCTGAATGACAGGGTGAGAAATTGCGTGATAAGAGATAAATGTGGTATGCAAGATGATGTGTGACCAGGATTAAGAAAGGAATACTTCGGTGTTTTGGTCATGTAGAAAGAATGAATGAGGTAAGAGTGACAAAGCAAATTTATATGGCAAATGTGAACGGCAGAGTCGGGAAGGGACGCCCTAGAAAAAAGTTTATCGACCAAATTGGCGATATTTTGAAAATGGGCCACGTTAGAAGTACCCTTAAGGTGGCACTAGTCGAGGGCTCGAACTCATTGGTGGGCGCGGCCAAAAAGCACGTTGTCTCACCTGGCATCGTGCCCGACAGAGATAGTACCAGTGAAGAGCAGTTAGAACGCACGTCTTGTTCGTACGGCGTTCCGAACCGTTAGAACAAAAACGAAGTTACACGAACACGATGCACACATACATACCACCCTATTCTGTGCCGCTCGACGCTTGCTAAGAAATCAGCAGTACCTACCTACAAACTATAGATACCTAATATAGATTGCTTATTTTATTATGTTTCGTTTTCCCCGGGTCACGGTAATATTATTACCGTGCCCGGGTGGTCATGCAGCGATCACTCAAGAGTTCACGACGCCGAAGCATGAACTGGAACAGTCATCGCAGTTTATATCCGTACTAGCTGTTGCCAGCGGCTTCAAACGCGTGAACTCGAAAATTATCCCACAGGAACGAAATACCTGAATAAACGGTATCAAATGTGTTATTCCAGACCAGGTATAACCTATCTCTGAGCTAAATATCATCCAGATCCCTTCAGCTGTGATTGAGTAACATACATCTATCCATCCAAACTTTCGCATTTATAATATTTAGATAATAATTGTAATTAGTTCTGCCTACCTATAAATTGTCTTCAAAAATACTTACCTGTCTTCTTACTTTGTTTTATATACACACAATATCACTAGATGTAAACACATGTTTTTATCAAGACAAGATAAGTGACCCGTCAAGACTGTTTCCTTAGTACCGACGTACTTAGGCAGGTAGGTAGGCAGTTTAGATTTTAGTTTCCACGACGCAGCGACAGTTTACCAAATTTTGTTGTATAGGTTGTGGGTATCTAGGTAATAACAGTAGGTAGACTACCTATCCACCGTGCACGCCGCGCAAGTGATTCTCGTCCCACCTGTCCGCGCAGTAACTTTTTTTTACGACCGCGCGAGACTGTCGCAACAAAAACGATTACTACCGTAAAACTAAATAGGTACCTACCTAACATTCAAATAAAAATATTCTCAAAAAGCTCAACGAATTCAGAATTTTATTTTGTTAAAAGAAAATTGGTCAAATAAAAAATAAAGGATGAAAATAAAGCATATGGGAATATAAAAATAAATCGTATTTATTTGTTACTTATTTCGAGTTTTACAAGAAAAGTATAATATTTACTGGAGACAATTATTTTATTATTATAATAGTACATGATATTCCCTTTAAAATGACACCAATATGAATAATATCTTATATCTATATCTACAAATAAATAAAATTGAAGTGTCTGTTTGTAATGTTAAAATAACAGCTTTTTATTAAATGCATATGAAAGTACTATTTTTGTCTGTCTGTCGGTCTGTCTGTCTGTCTGTTTGTTCCAACTAATCTCCGAAACAGCTGGATCTATTTTGACGGGACTTTCACTGGCAGATAGCTGATGATATAAGGAATAACTTGAACTACTTTTCTTTTAGAAAAAGAATTAGGGTTCCGCGCAAAAAAATTAAAACCCATGAAATCCATATTCCACGCGGGCGAGATCGCGGGGAAAAACTAGTACTCAATATAGATAAATGTATACTTATTTTTATTTATTTATTATTTTAATAAATAAATAAAAATAAGTATTAATAATTTCTAGACACATCTCAACAGATATTTCGTTTATAAATTGCTATCAATATTGAAGCATTCTTTTATATTTAGCATCCATTTAACACAAAGCTGATAGGAATACTTTTTAAACAACATAATATAATCAATAAACGATAATCGCGTATAGTGAATTTCGAGGTAAATTATTATATGTAAAATTTCAAACACAAAACACATTTTTACTCTGCTATCTTCAGCGCTGTACACGAACGGAACGATGTCGTTGAGAGCCGTGGTAGCTCACATGGTTAGCGCTCGTTATAGGTATCACAGTACGGGAGCAACCCGGGTTCGAGCCCCACTGGCACCAATGAAATTGTTGCGTGCTGATTTATCTATCAGTTGGAAAGTCTGTTTTTCTGGGCCGTTTTGTTTTGTTACACTGACATCTCGCAAGTCACCTAGGGACCTAGGAGGTTGTCGGTTGCTTATTTTTTATTTTTCTTTAAAATTTTCGTCGGTAAAATAACATATTTATAAAAGTAAAAAAAAGTAAAGTTACAGCCTATATACGCCCCACTGCTGGGCACAGGCCTCCTCTAATTTCTGAGAGGGTTTTAAGGCAAGGAAATGTCCGCCACGCTGCTTCAATGCGTGTTGACGAACTTCACATTTCTTCGAAATATACATTTTTTAATTTCTCAGACATGCAGACCCGAGTTCGATCCCCGCCGGTACCAATGAAATTGTTAATTGCAATTGTGCTGATTTACCACGTGCTCGGCGGTGAAGGAAAACATATTGAGGAAACCTGCACGTCTGAGAATATAATTATAATCGAATGTAAATCAAATTGACATAGGTAAGTACAGATAAAATTAGCGGAACATTAATAAAATTTTGAGATCGTTTTTTTTTTCAAAATTTTATTTATATATTCCTCTATTTTTGTCTGTGCTTATATCAATTTGATTTAATCCAAAGTACAAGCAGGGGTCAATTTAGCGTAGTAATTTAGAGCGCAGGTATAGCTATAGTCATACGAACGTCACAGGCCGCAGCTGACTGCATAGATAAATAAATATGTAGGCTGACTGAGTCTATATTATAATAAAATAAAACTAGAATAAGCGCGCGTCACCGCGCATGCATGTGTGTGTAAGTGTCGTCCACCCGCACCGCACCGGGGGGGAAACATTATTCAGTGAGATGCACGATAATTCACATAAACACGCGCGCGTAAAAAAAATACGAAAAGGCCTTTGGAAGGAGGGGTTTTACGAAAAAACCACTGCTTGAATCAATTACCAATAAAATTTATTGAATTCTTCGATAATTGAGCTGTGTCGGTACCGACTTTGTTTTGGAAATTTTACACTGCTTTTATTACTAATTTACGCCCAAAGTTGTGTTAAAATTGGCAATAAAAACGAATCTTTGGTAGCTCGTAACTTTTTACTGACTTTTTATTTTACTATTCTGTTTCGGTACAGACAAAATTAATAATGAGACAAAACGATATCATGTTTAACTTTGGATGTACACTGTCAAACAGCGGAGTAAAACCCCTCCGAAATTTCTATGGAAATAATGTCGACTAGAGTCACCTTAACCGACGAGCATGTATGCGTAGATATATGGATGTAAAGGAGGCGAAAGAGGTACGTCGGGATCGTGCCGAATGGAAGTCCGTAGTCTCTGCCTACCCCTCTGGGCGACAGGCGCGAGTGTTTATGTATGTTTTGTTATTAAATATACATTAAACACAATTTCGCCATCTACCAGATGCCATTAATTTATACTGTTATTTTGACGTGCCTTTAGTAGACTCAATTAGCAAAGAGATGTGAGAAATTCTCTGTGCCGGCTTTGATATTAACTGAGTGCCTCGATGGTTTAGTCATAGCTTAAGAATATATAGTCAGTCATCGCGTTTGATGTTGTCGGAAAAGCCGACAAAACAATAAATTGCTAGGGTTGTCAGAACTGGAAGTAATAGAAAAATAAAAACAATTTTTTTTTTATTATGTGATAACTGATGAAACTTTAATTCATCACCATTACAGCTCTTCACAAGTCCACTGCTCAACATAGGCTTCCCCCAAGGAAAGCCACAAAGAACGGTCCTGAGTCACCTGCATCCATCGACTTCCTGCATGTCTTACAAGGTCGTCACTCCATCTAGTGGGGAGTCGT